ATACCCCCCACCCCTCACCCCTTGGCGGGTCAGTCCCCAGCCCTGCACATCCCTCTGGAGCCTCATTTGTTTTTCCAGGGATTAACTGGGTGTCTTGAAAAACCAAACGAGCGAGGTGTGACAGTTTTGCTGCAGCAGCGTCACTCGTCCTGCAAAATGTGTTTGTTGAAAGAGGGAAAATGTGCTCAGAACGAGCCACAGCCTTTAGTCACGGGAACTCTGCTGGGAAACAGCCCCTCCGTGAGGCGTTGTCCTCCCGTCCTGCTGGCACAGCCACAGCCACGCACATCCCGCTGGGATAAACACGCTGCTGTTCCAAGGACACATCGGAGAAGCTGATTTTTAATACTTCATTTTTTTTCTTTTTTTTTCTTTTTTTTTTTTTACCCAACCGGGACTATTTACAGTGAGATTTGGGAGAAGCGATTCACACCAAAACAAACACCCTGAAGTATTTTAATTGTGTTTAAACGACTCTTGCACCCATGAAAAGAGCCCCAGGTGATGATGGGCACGTTGCTGTCGTTGCTTTGAGCCGCTGTACCAAGAAAAAAAAGCCTTCCCCTCAGGTCTTCAGCACTGGGAAAAGGTTGGGATGAATTCACTAGTGAGAGAGTAGATCAGCTTCAAGGGCTGCTTTTGGGATGTGGATGTTGCTGCTGGTGCCAGCAGAGATTGTGGGCTGAGCAACATCTTACCCACCACCCCTCATGGTACACCAGCTGGCACAACCTAAAAAAGAGCTTTGGCTCCCTAAAAATGAGCTACATATGCTTGGGATGAGGAACAAACCTGCTCTTGGTCCCTGGCACCCACGGAGCTGCTGGGGGCTCAACCTCAGCAATGTGGCTCCAGCACCTCCTGCCTTGGGGGCAGGAGGGACCTGCTCCTGCTGCTGGGGTTTGGGGACCTACCCAAGTGAAAATACTGCTCATTGTTTATGTACCTGCTGCTGGTGCAGAGGGAGAAGCACAGAGCCAGGTTTCTGTCTCACAACTCATCCCACTGGGAGTCCTTTGGCTTCCCTTATTCCCAAATTCCTATGCTGGGCACTAATCCCCACATATCAGCAGGGAGTGTGGTGGACTCCAGGCATCCCCAGAGCCCTGCAGCCCTATCCAGTGATCTCCATCCCACTCAAGGGATAAAATGCTGGCTCTGCCTCGTCACACATCCCCTGTCCTTGACATAAAGAGACTGGGGGGAGATTTTCACTCTAAAACAACTACCTGTGTACTGGTAGGAGTCAAAAAGAAACAAGTTTGAAGTCTGTTGACATTTCAGCCTTCAATTCCACATGGAAAATTTTACACAGAGCTCTGCTGGAGCAGGAAATAGTAGAGGAGACCTAGAACACAAGAAGGGGGTTAAATGCCTGATGGTCTTAAAAAAGGAAGAAATCCTGCACTTTAACATAAAGATGAGATTATAAACAACTCCATTAACCCAAACTATCTGAAACCTGAGAGGTTTTTGTCACTGAAATCCCAATTTAACTACTTTCATCAGCCTAACACATTGCTACCAGAAATCTGGGCTGTTTGGACACAGCCTGCCTCTGCCTAAAAAGCTGTGGAGGGCTAAGGGCACTTGTACTTCTCATGATGTTCTCCTAACAACAAAAGCGGAGAACAGCTGCAAAAAAATAAATGTCTCTTGTGTGGTCAATGGGAGGAGGAGGCAGAGAAGCAGGTCTTTGGCAGCTCTGGCTCTCAGTGTGCTCTAGGCTGATTTTTGAAGTCCTTCACAGAAACAATAACAACGATAACAAAAGGTCTGCAGTCCCCCCACCGTCCACGGCAAACTCCTGCCCTCCCTTGCCTCTCTGCTGCCCTCGCAGTTCACTCAGGGCCGCCTCGGCCCGGGTCACATCTCGGTGTCAGCAGGGCTGTGCTGCCGGGCCGAGTGCCCGTTTTTGGAGGACGCCTGGCCGGTCCCGTTCTCCTGGGTGCCACCGTTGAGGTTCGGCTTCTCCTGCGGCTCCGGCTGCTCCTGGGAGGGCGTCATCAGCATCGTGTTGCCCTGGCTACCGTTCTCCGCGTAATACGGGTCTTCAGCCTGAACAGGTACAGAAAGAACAGAGGCAGGGTCAGGGGAAGGGCAGGGCTGGTGGCGGGGGGATGGCACTGCAGGCAGGGCTTGGCTGGCTGCCCGCGATCCCCGGGCAGCAGGAACAAACAACCGCAGGCAGGGGCAGTGCTCTCGCTGACGAGAAGGGGGACAGAGGGCCTGAACCATGCCACGGCGAGATGAAGCAAGAAAACCAGCCAGGAAGTGCTTTTCCCCCCCCCTCCTGGACCTGAAAAGAGAAGGTTTTGTTGTTTTCTCATAACAGGTTTTAGAGCTGCCACTGCCTTGGTTTGCGAAGCCACCCCCGTGACAGACCATGTCTGCTGTCCACTTGGGCCAAGAAAGAAGCACCTGGGAATGAAAATGATGGAAACTGTCCCAATTTCTTCCCCCATCTTTCCTCTTAGCCTATAAATAGGTGCACAGCTCGCAGCAAGTTGCCAGCAGAAGTGTAGGGCTGCACTTCTCTGCAGGGCTGGTCACTGGCATTGCTGTGAGGAGGACCCAGGGCAACCCAGAGGTGCCTCTGTCCCCTCACAATAACTCCCTGTGTGTCAGACTGTGACATTTCTGGTAGCCATGGAATGGACACTGGTGATCCAAGTGGCAGTTCCCAGCTGGGAGCTGCTCCTTGTTTCCTCAGCAGCATCCAATGCATGGATGGCTGACAGGCTTCCCGCCCACCTCAGTGTTTCACTCAGCCCCTTTTCCATGTCCACGGGTGTGGGATGGACACATCTCACCTAAAACCTGGATTGACACTGCCATGGGCAGCTCCCAGCCACACATTTCCACTGCTGGAAGCATCCAGGGATCCAGAGACAGCGGGCTGGAGAGCCTGAGCTGTGATGGCCCTGCCTCTGACACACACACTTGACTTCCCATCTCTGTGTTTTGGGAGCATCCTTTCTGGCAAGGAAATAACCTTAATGGCTTTCCAGGACACAACTGCTCACATTGTTCAGAGGTGAGGGAAAAGCACGGCCAGGCCTAACTTGGCATTCCCAAAACTCACTGGTAGGGAGGACTCCTCAGTGGTCAGCCTGCCTGGAAAGGGGAAAATGGAAATAGGAGATTTCTGTCTCTTTCTTGATATGTTTTATTACCACTGCTTTTTAAGTGAGGGGAGAAATAGCCTTTATTACAGCAAGGGTACAGGACAGACACGGAACTCAAACACAGCAAATGGAAATTAAAATGTGTCACTTTTAATGACAAATTCATAAGCTTTCAGTGTCTCTGGAGGGGTCTTGTTGGCTGGGTTCTTACTGCTGAGCAAAAATAAGTGTTAGACCTGGAAGTACGTGCAAGAAAGGGGCAGTTCTCCCACAGGAGCAATCAGCTACGAGTTAATTTTGGAAGGCAAGACAGGTTTTCCTTCACCCTGTACATTTTGGCCTCCCTGCTCCTGCCCTTTGCCTTGCCCAGGCTGCCCCAGACTCAGCCACAACACGGGGCTGAGCTGTCCCACGACCTGGGGACACACGTGGGTGGAGGGTCCTGAGGCACAGGGTGCTGGGCACCCCCCTTTTCTGCCCTGCAGGTGCCCCCCTCGCTGCCAGGCCCCTCTCTACCCGCGGCTCTGCCAGTGGTAAGCACTAACCAGCCTCTCTCCCGCAGGGCTCCAGCTCCGCCGCCTCATCAGGAAGTATCCAGCCAAGCCCAGGAACGCCAGCAGGAGCCCAGATGTGACCAAGGCAATCAGGGTCTTCTGAGAAAAGTCCTGGTGGTTCCTCACGCTGTCCCACTTCAGGGATTTTATTCCAAACTGGGGAAAAAAACAACACCAAAGAGAGCCGGGAGTCCGACAAACAGGAAACGTGTGCATCTGCTGAACAGGCACCGACTTCAAACAATGCTGCTCCTTACCTCCTTGTGGAACTGCACGTAAACAAAGCTGGGCTTTGCTACCCCAGCTCCTGAGCTCTGCCCTGGCCCTATGAGCTCTCACGTCCTCACTGTCTCATTTCCAACCTGGAGTCTCCTGGGGTGCAGGGAATTTTTCTCCCTTGGACCAGAGCACTCAGACCCCAAGGTTTAGAGCACACACATCTGCAGAGCTGAGACCCCTCTGTGTGCTGCTCTTGCAGCTCTGCCATTTATGTATCTACAGACACCTGGAGCTCAGCTCCACGAGCCAATGGCAGCCTCGGGGGAAAGCTGGGAGGAGGAATTAATGAATATCAGGTGGGACTTCGAAGAAGCCAGTTGCATCCTAAGAGTCATTGTTGGGATCTAAACCTTTTCTAAGAAAACACTACAGAATTTTACAGAACCCTTTCAAGCATTTCTGCCTCCAGATTGTATTAATGCTCTTATGGTGCATGGCTGCCTCGCTGTTTGTGGCTCCAACCATGGAATCACAGACTGGTCTGGGTTGGAAGGGACCTTAAAGCTCATCCATTCCAACCCCCTGCCATGGGCAGGGACACTTTCCACCAGACCAGGTAGCTCCAAGCCCCGTCCAACCTGGCCCTGAACACTTCCAGGGGTCTCCTGTGCCAACACCCATCAGGCATCTCCAAACTGGAGGCAGGTTCAAGTCTCAGCCTCTCCCCCCAGTCTCAACTGACCACCTAAAAAACTCATCTCTCCAGCCACCCAGACCACCCGTTTTTTTCCAGCTGAATTTGCTTAAGGAATTTACCTTTTCCCAGTGAGACTCCTTGAGCATATGTGGAGCGGGATCTGCAAGGTTTCAAAGAGGAGAGGCACATTACACAGAGGGTCCTGCTGCAGGAAATGCCAGCACAGAAGGGCCTGGCTGAGCACGGAGGGGCTGAGAGCCCCTCTGCTGCTCTGGGGGCAATGCCTTTGCCCCAGGGCTGTACAAGACCCCAGAAGAAAGAGCAGTGGTTGCAGAGAGAGGTCTGCTGCCAGGATCTGTGTCCCACAGCCCTTCCCCACAAACATTCCCTCTCCCATTGCCCACACCGAGGTCGTTGTCCAGCGCCATCGATGGCAGCCGAAGGAACCAACACGAGCTTTAACATCCCTTCCAAGCCAAACCATTCCATGAGTCTGTGATCTTCTCCACTGACCTTTCTCTCCGCTGAGGATGAGGAGCAGACAGTGGTGGTCCACCTCAGACTTGGCGAGTTTGACCTGGCAGGGGGAGGGAACGGGGTGGGCGTTCTCTTGACACACTGCTCTCCACAGATCCGACCCCTTCCTCTCTAAAAAGTGTCTCTGCAAAATTTTCAGAAAGAACAGCCATTAAACCAACCAGACTGACAAATTCTCCACCTCAGCCACGCTGATGGTGGTGTTGTGCTTCCACATTTGGGTTTTGGTGGCTTATCTGTGCCCTGCAAAGCTGATCCAGGTGTCAGACCCCACTTCACCACTGCCCAGACCCCCAACACCAACACTTTGGAAGTGGAGATGCTTATTTCTTGTTTCTTAACTTGATGAGAATAAATTAAATGAAGATATTATTAGCAACTCTTGAAAATGGCATTTAAACAGATCTATATTTAGGACCTGAATTGCACGGCAAGTCTCTCCAGTTTTTGGACTGGAACAGCCATCTGAAGAGCCCTATTGTTTCAGAGTCCCAGGCAGGGGCTGAGAAAGGAGGGAAATAACAAAGAAGCATTGAGCCTTCCTGTTTAGGAAATGTCTTCAGTGTTTTTGCTAGGTTGCTGATCAAAGGCTAGGTAAAAAAACACCAATTTCTCACATTTTAGAGCTGAACTGACTCTTGGGTGGAAGAGGAAGAGGAGTGAGGAGCTGCAGCCTTTCCCTTCTGTTGGCCAATTTCTGTATCAGACAGGATAGGCTTTCTCCTTGGGGCTATTTTCAGCCACAGCCAGGCTTGGAGACAGAGCCCACAGTTGCTAAAAGACCTTATCAGCTTCCCTAACATCCTCCCAGCTGGGGACATCCTCCGAGCCGTGGCCGTGCCCACCCCCTTGAGACAGAGACAGGCTCCAGCTGAACCCCCTGTCCTGCCCCTGCCCTCCCCTCACTCCCCACGGGAGAAAACCCTCTCATCTTGCAGCGTGGTGCAGAGCCAGGAGGCTCAGTGCCTTCCTCCCTCTGCCTCAGAGTTACCTCAGCATTGTGCTCCGATCGCTACATCCTCCCAGCCTGCAAAAATGCACAAACTTATCCATGGGAGAATAACAAACAAATCACTTTCAGCTGTTTCTATAGAGCTTTGGCATGGGGTGAGAAAGGCCAAGATGGAAACAAGAGACCCAAGTGTGTATTTTCCTTTCTCTGCTGTGGAAAGAACTCATCGGAGTGTCAGAATTTCCCCCTGCAATTAGCGGCGCCGGGTGCCAGCTGATTGCTCATTTGCTTTGGGAAAGGCCAGCAGGAAAGTGAGACACACGCTCCCTCCTATCTGCTCCCCTCGCAGACACTCTTATCTGGTTCCCAGGTCCAGCCTGGGCTGGCTGTTCCCGCTCCAGGATTGCTGAGGTGGAGGCAGGGGGACAGACCTGCTGTGGGGTGGGAGCCGCCCGAAAAACACGGTGGGAAGTTGGGCTGTTTGAATCGTTTCACGTGGAGGGAGGGTTGAGAGTAGGTGAGGTACGACTCTGTAGGATATTCTGTCTGTTCTATGTGTATCCCTTCATATATGTGATGCATAAACCCTGTGCCCAGGAGGGATCAGAGCCCACTAGATGGCATATGTGGTCGGAATCACTCGCTCCCGGAGTTTCCCTCCGTAGGTTCTTGCTAAAGTACAGTCCCTGTAAACAGGAGCGAGTCTAAATGCCATTCAACCACTAATTTGCAGAGAAAAGCCAGGTAAGAATTCACTCATCCTGAGTGGCAGCAGTATGGCTGAATGACAGAAGAAAAATTATGTATTTTATACATATTTTATACCCAGTCTGCCATCCCACAACATCCAGGACCACTCACCCTCTGTGGCAGGTTGTACCTCTAGTGTGAAAGGATTCTTCTTCCCACCCATAACAGACCCTCCTCTGATTTTATAAATCTTCATTTTTGGTGCACGAGGCCAGGGGCAGTTACAGAGAGCCTGGCATTCCCTTAGGAGTCGATGGGGGCACTGATCAGCTACTTCAAATGCCCTGTTTTCTTTCCTAGGGCAGTTGGCAAGACAAAAAAAGGCACTTGCGTTCTCCACAGGGAAGAGGAAGAAGAAGAACAAAGGCAACTTCCTGCTAAACATGGGGGGAGACACTTTAAAAGCTGAACTGACCTCAGAGCTTAATAATGAAAAAAAAAAAAAAAGAGGTTTTATGCAGCCAGGAGGTTGCATTTCCCCTGGGTTGATCATTCCTTTGGGATCCTCCTGGGACTGCTGTGATCATCCATTTGGGATCCTCCTCAGACTGCTGTGACCATCCCTTTGGGATCTTCCTGGGACTGCTGTGACCATCCCCTCCTCCATCAGTCTGGCACAGCTCAGATGCTCTGGCCACGAGCTCCCCACCCCAAACTGACCCTCCAGGTACAGTGGGTGACCCCATTGCTGCAAGAGTCGCAGCAGGAATTTGCCCTGAGCTGGTTCCTTGCAGCCCCCCCTCCTCCTGCATGTCCCCCCTCCTCCCCCCTGGGGACACTCACACAAGTGGTGGACTCGTTGAGCTGCAGGCAGATGGCTCCAGTGTCACTCACTTCCTTGACATTGTGGCATGTGATGGGAAGAGGGGAGGGCTGGAGGGGAAAACACACAGGGGTGGTATCAGTGACCTGTTGGGGGGGGTTGTGAGGCAAACCCAGCCTCCTGGTGGCCCCCCATCCTCACCTTTGGGCTGTCCCTGGCTGTGTGGGGTGGCAGGGTGGCAGCTGAGACAGGAGGGTGCTCCGTGGTGGCAGGAGAGCTCTTCATATCCACTGTGGACCCCGAGGCCTCTGCTGCCTCACTGGGCTGTGTCTCTGGGCTCTTGGTCGTGGGGACACTTTGGCTCATGTTCTGTGTCTCCAAGGAGGTGCCCAGTTCTACTGGGGGGGCTTGGCTGGTCTGGGGGTTCATCTGCTCCCCACTGGATCCTGTGGAGCTGGGAATGCCTGTCAGGGACCCGGCTGCAGCTTCAGGTTTGCAGAAATGCAATGGAAAGGAGACATGAGAAAGCTGAAATCCCCTAAAGTCAATGTGTGACATTGCAGTGACTGAGGTACAACACTGATTTGTCACAGCCAGCACCAGAACGAGGCCTTGGCTCTCCAAGAAACACTCATTAGCTTTGGCTCAGCTGCCTAATTGCTACATGTGCTTCATGATCTGGTTACAGGGGCAAGGGTGCCACCATTCCCCCTCCCCGGCATCGCCCTCCGCTCCTCCCCGACCCAGAGTCTTCCAAGAGATGCACTGATCCCAAACAGCACGAGAGAAAGGCACCTGCATGTGTGCCAGGGTCCCTCCTTCAGAGCCTGAGCTTGGCCCCTTATCATGGAATCATGGAATGGTTTGAGTTGGAAGGGACCTTAAAAATCATCTGCTTCCACCCCCTCCATGGGCAGGGACACCTTCCACTAGCCCAGGCTGCTCCAAGCCCTGTCCAACCTGGCCTTGGACACTCCCAGGGATGGGGCAACCACAGCTTCTCTGGGCAACCTGTGCCAGGGCCTGCCCACCCTCACAGGGAAGGATTTCTTCCCATATATCCAATCTAAACCTGCCCTCCTTCAACTTAAAGCCATATCCCCTGGTCCTCTTCTTGCCAAAGGCTGCCAGACCTCTTACAGGTGCCCTTTCTAACATGTATGTTGAGATAAAAATTGATGAGCCTTTTATCCCACCATCTCCTGTCTGTTTTGGGTCCAAGCCACCCACCCTCAAGACAGCAGGGCTGGGTGGCCCCCGGTGGGATATTTTGGACAGAATTAAAGTTTTTGACCATACTATCTGCCTCTTGTTTTTTTCAGAGCACAAACCATGCCTTAAAAATTTAATTATTAATACAAATGCTGCCAGGAATCACGGGGGGAACAAGGGGAGCAGTTACCAGCTGTGTCTGGTGTGGGCTTGGCACTGCTGGAGGTTCCAGTGGCCCCGGTGGCTCCGATGGTTCCCGTGGTTGCCCCACTGGTGTTGCCTTCCTCTGCCATGTCCGTGACTGTGGGTGCAGGTGTCCCTGTCGGGTTCCCAGCAGTGTTGCCTGGGGGCAGAGGAAGGTGTTAGGGGGCTGCTGAACCACCCCCCTCCAGCCCTGAGTCCCCGGGGGTAGGCAGGGAAGGGCCTGTGCTCTCACAAATTCACTTTTTAATGCCCCAGAGTGGCAGGGTGCCTCAGAGCACAGCTGGGAGAAGCTCAGAGATGAAATGCTTCAGCTGGGTGAGCACCAGGCTTTGGTGCAGCCCTTGCAGGGGCTCCAGAGCTCTCAGGAGGAGGAGAACAGGCTCGTTTCTACCCTCATCCCACCCCATCCTCAGCTCACTGATGGATGCACAAAGCCCTGCACAAAGCTGGATTTCATAGTAGTTTGGGTTTATAATCCTTGGAGGAAAGACTCAAGCCTTGGAAGAGATCACTTGTGTGCCTCAGGATAGATAAGTTGGATTTACAGTTGCAGGCACAATCTCAAAGTAAATAGAAACATTCCCACTGGCTTGGGATCAGCCCTGACTCATGAGCAAAAACATCTTTGGAGGTAAAGCAGAATGTTTGGAGAGTGGTTTGCTGTTCTAACTTAAAGTTTATATATTGCTTCCTGCTGTGTTACAGAGATGACACTTCCAGCTTTTCCTTCTGAAACGAACTATATGAGTCAGTGAAAATGCATTTCTCCCCATTCCTCAACCTTCTCTGTTCTTAAGATCTCTTCCCACTTTTAACAAACAGCTTCACTCTCTACCCGAGGGCTCTTGGTGTTTAAGATTCTTATCCAGGCATCAAAAAGAAAATCACACAAAATGTGTTGTTTCATTTGTATTTCTGCCCAGGGGAGCCCGAGCTCCAAGAAAAGTTACTTCATCCTCCCCAGCCACCCTCCACGAGGGATGGAGCAGCACTGGCAGGTCCTGGTCAGCTGCCAGTGCCAGTGCCAGGTAAACAGCCCTGGTGTTTGTGTCCTGCAGGACCCTGCATTGTCCTGGCAGGAATTTTTCTCTGTCAGGATGTCAGGATTTTGCTGGATCAGGCCCAGAGAGCCTGGATGGTTTGTGAGAAGAAAAGGCTGAGACCACTGAGGTTCATTTTGGCAGTGGGGGCAGCAGGTAGAGCTGCTCCTGCACTGCCAGATTGGGCCAGAGGGTGCTGAGGGGGAAAGGGTGCCCCAACCTGGCCCCATGGGGCTGCCTGCACTGGTGCCTCCCCTCCCATCCCATCCCATCCCGTCCTGTCCTGTCCCATCCAGTCCATCCCATCCCATCCCATCCCATCCATCCATCTCATCCTATCTTAATCATCCCATCTATCCCATCCCATCCCATCCATCCCATGCTATGGGATAAGACCCATCCCATCCAGTCCATCTCCTCACATCCCATTCCATCCATCCTATCCTATCTATCCCATCCCATCCTATCTATCTCATCCCATCCATCCCATCCTATCTTATCATTCCCATCTATCCCATCCCATCCCATCCCATCCCATCCATCCCATGCTATCTTATCCATCCCATCCCATCCAGTCCATCCTATCCCATCCAGTATATCTCCTCCCATCCCATCCCATCCTATCCCATCCCATCCCATCCCATCCCATCTTATCCACCCCATGCTATCTTATCCAACCCCTGCTATCTTATCCAACCCATGCTATCTTATCCATCCCATCCCATCCCATCCCACCCATCCATCCCACCCCATCCCGGGCTGCAGCTGCTCTGGGGGAGGCAGGGGCCCTGTCGAGGGCTCTGTGCAGGTGTCAGGAGCTGGAATTCAGGCTCTGGCACAGCTTTTGTTGCAGGGAGAAGTCTCTCCTCTCCAAGACAATTCAGTTCCAGCTGGTTAAATCACCAAGTTTTCCTGATGACTTCTAACAAATCAAAAGCAGGAGGCAGGACTGCGTGCCCAGAATAATGAGGAGCACAAAGTTAAGTCCAGGCTTTACGCACAGCTCCGTGTTTTCATGGACACGAGCAGGAAATTTTGCATCACCAGAACAATGCAGCGCCTGGACTTGACCTCCCCGAGTGCCACAGCCACCCAAGCACCTCTGAGCTGTTCCAGATGTTTGTAAAGCACCAGAGGTACTTCTAATCAAAGCCTTTTCACCACTGAATATTGGAATTGCAGCCTGGATATTGCTGGGTGGAAGCTGGGAGAGGAGCTGTCACGTTGTATTTCTTTTTCTTGCCTTTGTTGTAGCATGTGCAGGTCCTTTCTACAGAAAACATGGCTGGGTTTTTTGAAACCTGAGGACTCAGGAGATAAATAATGATCCAGATGTGGGCTGGATAAGCCACATGGTGCTCAGTTTAAGTGGGTCATTTATTGCACCATACATTTTTAATGGCTTTACTAAACTTTGTCAATTTGTGAGTATTAAGGGTTTGGGAGTTTAAGCCAAGCCATTTATTAACCTGGGAGAAATCTTCACCTGGCAGTGCAAGCAAGTGCAGGAGCAAAAACATGCAGATATTGGAAAGAAAACTGCTCTTCAGGGTACCTATTTTATTTACCCACTTAGATTTCAAAAGTAAATGCCTCAGATTTTTAAAAATATTTTAATAATGGGGCTGACAAAAGATCTCAGCTCAAATTGAATAAGCAAAAGTGACAATATAAATGTTAAAGGAGTTGACTTGGTCCAACACTCATCCCTGAGCACTAAAGCAGGGCCACAAAAAACCCACCTCTGCAGTGGCAAAGGAAACAGGAGAAAAGTTTCCAAAGTTTGCAAAGCAAACCAAAGAGATCCCCAGGCAGAACCTGCACCTCCTGTGCTGCCACTGCTGATTTCTCTTGGAAAACCTTTTGGTGACTGGGCACCTCCTTCAGTGCTCTGACACACAAACCCAGAGCTTCTCCAGCTCTGTGCTGAGTAAAGTTCTTTTTCCAAGCTCCAGGAGCTCCAGGGGCTATGGCAAAGGGCTGCCCCTGACATGGCACTGTGGTACTGCTGGTCCCAGAGGCTGCAGGGGAGGGTGAGGAACCACTGGATATAGGAAAGGAGGGTATGGAAACGTGGGATAGAGAAGAAGAGGGTATGGGACCCTGGAATATGGAAGAGGAGGGTATGGAACTGTGGGACAGAGAAGAGGGTATGGAAATGTAGGATAGAGAAGAGGAGGGTATGGGACCCTGGAATATGGAAGAGGAGAGTATGGAAATGTGGGATAGAGAAGAGGAGGTTATGGAAACATGGGGCATAGTAGAGGAGGGTATGGAATTACGGGATAGAGAAGAGGAGGGTATGGGATAGTGGAATATGGAAGAGGAGGGTATGGGATAGTGGAATATGGAAGAGGAGGGTATGGAAACACGGGATAGAGAGGAGGAGGGTATGGAACTGTGGGACACGGAGCTCTGGAGCTGGAGCCAGCCCAGGCTTCCCGCAGCAGCTCCTCCAAGGGCTCCAGCCGGCATTACTCATGCCTTTCCAGTTTTACAGCTCTCAGCCATGTGGCAGGAATTCAAGCGGGTGGAGCCCTCTTCCCTCTGGAAATATCTGATAAAAACCCCTTCCCTCCCCCTTTTTCCTTCTCCCAGACAGGATATGGGTGTGGGGCCACCGTGGTGGCTCAGGGGGGCTGTGGGAGCCCCCCGAGCTGCCACACCAAAGCCCAGCTGCTGGACCAAGGCTTTCCTTGGGCTTGGGGCCTCTCCAGCACTTTGGGAGCCCGGCACCTTCCCAGGGACTGAGATTTCTCCTGGCTGGAGCAGTTACTATGTGCAGCCTCTGAAAGGATGTTAAGCTCAAGCAGCTGGAAGTTTTAAAGCTCCTTTTCCCCCTCTCCTGATAGTTAGGACTTTGTTGCAAAAGGAACGAAGGAAAGAAGGAATGCTTGAAAATCACGAGAAAAGAGGGTTTGCTGAAGATCAAGCTTGGCAGAGGTGAATAAAAAGATAGTAAAAAAAAAGAAAGATAAAAGGTTAAATAAAGAAATAAAGTGTTTTAATTCGGTACAAATATAATATATACTCTCTTTTCCATGTTCATTCTGACACATGCACAGGACAGCCCTTCAGGTGCTTTATCAAAGCCCAGTTTTCCAACACAAACTCCTCACACCATCCTACCTGGAGCTCGGGAGGGTTCCCAAGCATTCCTGGAGTAACAGCCCTCTCTGTGGACCAGGGATCTGTTGTAAGCTTCTCCCACACTCATTAGAACTCCGTGGATTCCCAAAGAACCAGGCAGAGGCCAGAGCTGAGCCTTTCCCAGGTGATTTTCTCCCCATGGAGCCCCTGACTCCAGGGTCCTGGTACCCAAACTCCACCCTCCCCACCCTGCATCCACACATGGCATTTGTTGGACTCCTGCCCCTGGCCCAGTGTGGCACAAGGGATTTTCCCCACGTGGCTTTAGCTGGAGGTGTCCTGGGAGCAGGAGGGGACTGGTTGTCCCACCCTCAGCAGCGCTGCCAGGAGCAACCTGAGCCCAAATTTGGGATTTCCATCGGGAGTTGCACAACTGGAAGCTTTGCTGGATTCTCTCAGACTCTCCAGGGAGGTGAGGAGCATGCAGTGCCCCCAGGGTGAGCTCCTTGATTTCTCTCAGCACCTACACTGAGCAGAAAAAAATCCTCCTCCACCTCCCAGCAAGAAACATCCTTCAGAAATGATGACCACGGGCTGTGCAATGACATTTTTCAGCACTAAAGACCATGTCACCCTTTGTCTTTCCCAAATCCCAGCTTTTTATCACTTTTGTATCACTTTTGCTTTGTGCTACAAGGAACTTGGGGTTTTGCATCTCAGGTAAACCCTTTTGTCCTACACCCGCTCGCTGCTCAGTTCAGCCCAACCAGGCAGTCCTAAATGTCATTTCTCCTAAATAAAATTGGTTTTTTTCCTTCCTGTAAAATTTACACAGGCTGGAGGGTCAGGCACAGCAGCTCAGGTGAGCAATATACCTGGGCAGCAAGGGGAACATTAAAGGAGCACCGTGAAACAGAAGAACAAAATACAGCGAATTCTTGCAGCAGATCTTGTTGCTCACATTCATGTGAATAAGGAAAAATTACATTTGAGGAGACACCCGCAGGCTCCTGGCTCCTGTCCCAGCACACCAGGCAGCACACAAAGTGTTGCTTCACTTTTTTTAGTCCTTTTTTTATTACTTCATGGTTGTTGGGTTTGGGACAAAAATGATAATATTTCCCTAAAATATAACCCTTTAAAAAGTAGTACCTAGAGAAAAGTCTCCGTGCTGTTACTCGCTGCTTCATGTGATGAATATTTGAAGAGCTGGAATAGGAGATTTTAATATTTATGGAGATTCATTTGATTTTCAGCAAATGTTTAGTTCCAACCACAAAACAAAAGTGAGGCTCATTTGCACCCAGGCAGGCGGAGAGACAACTGGCTGTGGCTGCACTCCCTTTGCCTGCTGCATTCCCATCCCCTTGTGTTACCCATGGTATTGGAGGGAGTTTAGATCCTGGTTCCACTCCTTTTCAAACCAGCAGCACTTTGCTCCAGTGCGTGGCTGGGGGTGTGTTGGTCGGGGTGCCTGATGCAGGGCTGCTCTGCAGAACGTCACCGCGGGGTTTGGATGTGGAATTGTCATTTCAGACTCGTTAAAACACATCCTCCCCCCCAAAGCTGCCTCTCCCCAGTCGCCCAGGAGTCGCCCCATGCCCTGGTCTCTTGTGCAACCCGGGTATTTTCTGTGTTTCAGTACTCACCAGCCAACTCCAGCACGCAGAGGGCGATCCAGAAGAGCTGCCTCCACTTCATCACCCTGAAACTTCCCAAGAACAGCATTCCCAGCTCCCACCACAACTGGAGCTGGCCGTGACAGCTCCGGGGTTCTCAGTCCTGCAGCAGCTCTGAGCTCATGCAGCTTGGTTGGAGTTCAAGCCTTTGAGATCACTCAGTTTTGTGGGGTGGGTTTCTCTTCAGGGGTTGTGCTTGTGGTTCAAGACTGCGAGGTGGAGTTTGCTCCGCTTTGATTTCCCAGTTTTATATAGTTCATGGCAACCTCACTATCACTTAGGTAATTTTCTCCTCCCCACTTTCCTGCCAGCAGCTTCAAAACAAACAAAAGATCAGCCCTCTCCCCAGCAAAGGATCCCAAAGCCTCGCTGGGATTAACTCTTTCCTGAGAGCTGCTGCTTTCCTGTTAGAGCACAGGCAGGGACAGAGCCTGGATGGAAGGATCACAGCAGAGCCTGCAGCTGAACTTCCCTCAGAGCAAAGTAAACACGGTCTGGTGAGAGCAGAGACGTGGAGAAGCCCCAGGTCCAGCCCAGCGAGCCCCGTGCTCCGTCCCAGAGCTGTGGAAAAGGGGGGAATGCTGAAAATGGACTTCAGAATCAGAAAATTTCTCAGCAAATTAAGCAGGGAACTCAAGGATGAGAAATCATCACTGACCTGAAGAGAAGTAACTCCATTTGCTTTGCTAAATTGACTTTGGCCAAACAGGGAGCACGAACGAGATGGGTTAGAGAAGGGCTGGGGGAGAGAAAAACCCACAGGCAAAAACTTTGGCATCAAACCTGGAGCAGAAGAGGGACGTGAGACTAATAACTTCCCAGAGCTCATTTCCATTAGGAATGCATTACAGAAACACTGAAAACAGCAGAGAAACACCGACTTCGGTTTTATTGCCAGGCTGAGCTTTACCAAGTGGGAAACTTGGCTGAGGGTCTCTGGTTCTCCAGTGGCTGCACTGCAGACACACGTGGGACCAGCTCTGGAAGTGGTGGGATGAGGGATGTTCTGCAGCAACTCAGGGGCTCACTCAGTGTGTCCTAATGTGGGGATGTCCCATCCCTGGAAGTGTTCAAAGTCAGGTTGGATGGAGCTCTGAGCAACTTGGTCTAGGGGGAGGTGTCCCTGCCCTTGGCAGGGGGTGGAATGGGATGAGCTTTAAGGTCCCTTCCAACCCAAACCATTCTGTGACTGACTTTGCCTTTGGGTATATATATATATATAAAAAATAAATAAAAAATATGATGACTTGGGAAATTAAACTCTAGTTAAATCTTAATTCTTCCTTTTCTTTAATTGCTGGGTGATGAGGTCACTAAATGTGTCATTGCAAACAGGAAATCAAAAATGAGGTGGCCAGGAAAAGAGTTATGGAAGGAAAGACAAGGAAGAACTTACTCCATGTGTCATCTTTTTATGGATGCCCCTATAACTCTTCTAAAGTCACAGAATCACAGAATGGTTTGTGTTGGGAGGGACCCTAAAGATCATTTCATTCCACCCCCTGATATGGGCAGGAAGATTTTCCCCTAGACCAGGTTGCTCAGAGCTCCATCCAACCTGGCTTTAAACACTTCCAGGGATGGGACATCCCCATGTTAGGGGGATACAGTCAGAAAAGGATTAAAAGACATTAAAAAAAAAAAAAAAGGATACAATAGTATTATGTACAAAGAGCTCCCTAAATAGCATTTCCAGTTTACACATTTATTGGTAGGACGAAATTCCAGTAGTTTTTTCTTTTAGCATAGGACAGGGGTTGGATGACATGATGTTTAAAGGTCCCTTCCAACTCAAACCATTCTGTCATTCTATGGCAGGAAACTATCTCTTGGAAGGAAACATCTGCAGCTAAGAAAAGTGCTCCAACATCTATATAAAGATTTCTATTATGTTCAGTAATCTATTACTGAATGACAGAGTGACACAGCTCTATTAGAGACCAAAATATCCCGGTAAAATATGGTCTAAAACCTGAGTGTGGGCACAGCCTGGCTGACTCCAACAGCTCCCACCAAATATCTTCCCTTTTTTCCTCTCTTAAACACACATACATTTGGAAATGCATGACTCAGTGTGTAACCAAGTTTTACATTGCATATCAGCTCAGAAAATAAATTCAGAGATGAAAAGTGAAAGGTGGAGTGAGACGAGAGTCTTATTTAAATAACAGATATGTTTTTTGTCTTCAAAGTGGGAATTTGGGCTGAAAAACACAACTAAAAATCAGAATGACAGAATCATAGAATGGTTTGGGTTGGGAGGCACCTTAAAGATCACCCAATTCCAAACCTCTTCCTATGGGCAGGGACACCTTCCACTGTCCCAGGTTGCTCCAAGCCCTGTCCAACCTGGCCTTGGACACTTCCAGAGATGAGGCAGCCACAGCTTCTCTGAAATAAAAAGCTGAAATTTCAAAGTATCAGTCACCAGGAACACAGAAGACCACGGGGTGAGGACCAACAGCCCATGACCCTGGAGAGCATCAAGAAAAGCTGTTGAGGTCCCTCTGGCAAGGACAGAGGTTGGGACCACCCTGTTCAGTGGAGGCAAAAATTTTAGAAACACTTAGAAATTTGATTTTGGTGCTACAAATAGGTGAAGAACATATATAGATATAAAATATGTATAGATATATGTATAAGGAATAAAAGAGAATGAAATAAAATACAGAGGGTGAATGACAATAAAACAAACAAGCTCATGCCCAGTTCCACGTCTGCCTGGCACCCCTGGCCCCTCTGCCCTGCCAGCCTTCCTGCCATCCTCCTCCAGCGCTGCTCTGGGCCCCTGAAGGAGAGAAAGGAACAGAATCATCCGGCTTGGGCCGCTGAGTTTATCTCACCTTTCAAAAACAAGCTGAAAATAGAGAGCTGGACTAAAAATAGGCGCTGCCCGGGTCTGGCAGACACCGCGCACGGGAAGCTCGCGGGTTTGGTTTCCAGGGGAAGTTGGGCTGGGTTTAAATGACATTCCCTGTGTCAAAGACCCAGGGTTTCATCGCCACTTGTGCCCACTGTGGGCACTGTCCGTGCCAGGCCATGCCTCAGGACTCAGTTAGGGACAGTCAGGCACAGGGAAATGGGACATATCCTCAAAGGGAGGACCGAAAATCCACAAGATAAGCTTTTTGTTAAGGTTGTTCTTCGGTTTAAAGCACTGTCTTCAGAGGATTTTTGGAGATGGACCTAGAGGTGCTTCCATCCATCCAACCACTCAGTGTTTTGAGCCTCCTTTGTTCCTCTGGCACAGGAATCACAGTGGTGCCCATCGGGGGCACAAAGCAGAGGGTGGGGGCAGTGGGACCCTCCTGCCTCCCACAGCCCTGAGCAGCCAGGCTTTCCCAAGGCTGTCCCAGCCTAACCAGGAGCTTTGCTGTGGGATGTTCATGCACACACAACTCCAAGCACATTCTAAATATTCCAAATACCCAGCTGTAACCAGGCTCTTTGGGGATTTCCCTCTGTTTGCTCCACAGCACCTTTTCTCAGTGACACAACTCTCCCTTTAAACCCGTTTGAAGTGACTTGAGCGTGTTGCAAATGAACACTGCAGAGTGATTTCCTCCTTTCAGACCCCCTAACACATTTTTATAGCCAAATATTGAAAGACCAAAACAAGGACCATGCACTTGAATTATCTCCCAGCAGTCGGTGTCAGCTGTATCAGGTTAGCAAAGCCTGAGCCAATTTCAACCAAACATTTACAGGATCAAGTGTCCAAATTTCATCCAGCACAGTGATGAAGGCTTGTTCACAGGGGCTGGGAATTTGTCCAAGTATTTAAGGGTGATTTAATTTAATTGTGAATGATGCAATAGACATATGGCTAGGAAGCTATATGCCAGGAAACATGTTTTCTATAAGTATTTTAGCAGGCAGATGGCATACAATGGTTTTGGTGTAGTCATTTCCTCACCTCTTAAAAGTTACTATTTCGGACAGATGAAATAATTAGATTCCCACCATCCTCCCAGGACACCAGCATTGCTGACCCAAAGGATGTGCAATGCAACAGGACTATTTCTGTGCAAAATCCCATTGAATAAATCAACCTTACACTCACCTGTCCATTGCCATTCACAAGTTTCAGAGCATTTTAATAACTTTCCCACTTAAATTGAAAGTGAGGGAGCAATAACACTTTACAGCACTTCCAGAACAGAGGCACGTGGAAGCACTTGGAGCAAAGCCACGCCACCAGGAAACCCCAAAAGACACAAGATTTGCATCTCAACCCTCAGCCTTAGCAACCAAACAGCACCACTTCCCAGACAGACCAACTCTTTCTGGAAATTACAACCCATCTCCTACATCCACCACGCTCAGCCCTCCAAAAAAACTGCTGCAGGAGGGGATGGAGGAGGAGATGCTGCGGGAGGAGATCCAGCTTTTGGGAGTGGTACGAGCATCTGCCCAGGGTGGAACAGCCAGAGCAGAGTATGAAGCTGCAAATAAAATCTTATTTAGTGAAGTTTGGGTAATTTTCTCTTACTAAAGCTTCCAAGATGCTGTTGGGATCACAACTCCTTTGTGTTAGCAGGAGGCACAGCACCAAATCCTGACCAGGGCTGAGCAAGGGGAACTCCAGTCCCCTGCTAATGCAGGGCACAAACTCTGTGCTATGAACAGACAATTCCTGAGGGATTAACTGGTGGGGATTCATCTAAGAAAGGGCAAAGAGCTCAAAAGCTTCGCTGATATTATCATCCTTATCGTGATTTCCTTAAGAACTTGTCACCTATTTGTCTTATTGTGCCGGGATTTGCACATTATTGTAATTATCCTGAAACTCTCGGGGGCAGGAAATGCTTCCTTTATTAGTGCTTCAGAAACTACATCCTGAGCCTTCCGTCATTCTGGAGAGATTCTTGCCTCGTTTTCCACACCAGAGTGTCTTCAGAGCCTTCTGCTTCTCCCAGCCCTGAAGAGCCACTCCCTGTGTGTGCCCTGGGCACGGTGCCCTCCGGCACTGGAAGTGCTGCAAGGTCTCCCTGAATCCTTCTCTTCTCCAGGTTTCGGGCACTTCCAGGACTTCAGTGAGAGCCAGTCCCCCCCTCACTGACACAAGCACAGTTTGAAGGAGTTTTTAGCTGAGTTTCGTGGCTCTTGTTGGGGTTTCTCTGCTGCCACTGGCCCTCGTTCCTGGTGCCACAGGGCTCCGACACGGGGTGAGATACCATCTCCATGGATCTCCTCCTTCCCGTCACAAATCCAGGAGGGATTCCTTTCAAAGGCAACAAAGGGTTT